TAAAACGTACTACAACACTTACATTTTACTAAATTTTTGATATCTATTTTCAAAGTCTATCAAATAATATTTATTTTGAAAAATATTTGATAAAAATACTATTACAGATAATTAATGGAATATATAATTTTCAATGCAGCTTGAAAATATGATAATTTATTAATTTATCTTTCTTACACTTATTTTATTTTATTTTTAATAATCTACAACGAAATAATTTAACAATACTAAAAGGAGGATATGAAGTCCTCTTAGCGCGTCTATATCAACTAAAAAAATCAACTAGTAATACTCTTCTAAATCGCCATGTCACATAAATCTTAGTTCATTTCAAAAACACACGGACGGTCCATTCAAAAACACACGGACGGTCCATTCAAAAACATTTAAAAAATTGTATTTGGCTTACTTAAGTTATAACCTATCAAACCTACCTATTAGACATTTTTTTTGTCGATACCAAGTGCAGATTCACTCATCCACTTTTTCTTATTCATTTTCATTGGATAACTTTTGACGTTTCTTTTTAATTACGCCGTATCCAGCCACTACTTTCTCATCAAACCCCTTCTTTACTCTTATAATCGACATACATGCAACCGTCTCGACTCCCTTCATTTATGAGCTTATATAGATTCTTCTTCTCTCAATCTCTGCTCCATGCAAAACCTAATGAAACCTGAAGAAGTGGATGCTTTAAGAGAGAAAATGTGGAAATCTCCATGCAGTGTTTTCTAACAAAGAAATGGAAATCAAGCAAGAAGGTGCCATATTTTTCCCTAATCTTAACATGAATCTTAGAAATACTGCATATTTACTCAAATTAGGAAACTTCTTGAGAGGCACTAATAACGGCAATTGACCATGGTATGTGCTGGACTGCAGAATTTAGTCCCAAGTTAATTGTCTACTGCCAACAGGACAGATGTAGAGAACACTTTCATAATTTTTACATGAAGTTTTTAAAAACCATCCGGCATCTGCCCCACCTTTGGACCATGTTGTTCCGCCAATGATGCCAAGTACGTGAACTTGAACACATCATACTCGACCAAGTACGTAAGTTTTCTCCCCTTACTTTTGTCTTTAAGTGTATCACTCGACTAAAATAAATATGAATTGGACAAAAGCTGCTGGTGAATCTATTTCCAACAGGTCAAAAAAGTGTCATCACTTTTTAAAAAAACAACGATCATGGAGAGACAGAGCCTCATATATAAGCGGCTGGAGTTACCTAGATGTCCAATTAGAGATCGAATAAATACATGTAAGAAAGTAGTTTTCCAAAATGTTAGATATATTTTCATATATTTTTCGTTCTCTTATTTTCATGATCACTATATTCAAGACACATTAGTGTTAATTATATGATGAGTGTGCATATAAATGAGATAGTAAATATTTACTGTTGTATTTGAAAAAGACCAATTTGCTATGGGTAAATTATAAGTTTATGACCAAATTTATCTCCCTTATGGGCATTGATAAGAGCATATAACAAATTCCTTTTGTAGTTGATGCTACATATGTCTCATCTACTTTATGGATGCATTAAGGAGAGCATGTAGCTACTAAGATAACATCACAATTATTTTGTTTTGAAATCTGAAGGTTATTATTAGGATTACAAGGATCATAAAGCTTTAATAAGGGCAACAAGGTGGGCAAAACAAATTAAATTTTCTGAAAACAAAATTCCGTAAAAAAGAAACCAACCTTACAGTACATTAAAATCCCTAAGAAAATAATTTTACCCACGAAATGAAACCATATATCATTCGATCAAATATAGAAAAATATTATATCAAAAATAAAAAATAGACATAAGTGGTCGACATTATAGGGCTGTAAAAGCATACATCTATTCTATTAAAATATACTCATTCTTTTTATCTACTGATACAAGTTGTCATTTAAAATTGGATCCTTTTTAGAGTGTTACAAACAATACAAGTCATATAGTTAACTGAACTGTATTACTTAAATTAAATCGGTGGTTATTTATGGGATATAGTCTTGGGCTTACTTTTGTTTTTTAATTAAATTATATGATTTGGTTTTTGGGCTTAATATTAAGGAAAAACTCCAAAAAACATTGAATAAACTTTCCACCTTAATGGATCAAAAAATCAATTATTTTTTTAGGCCCAAAACATATTTAAGATTTTTAACAAAACAAAATTATCTATTATTAATCATTTATTTAAATCATGTACTTAAGAACATGATAATGTATTTTTTATTTTAAATAATAATCTTTTTTTGATAAATTTCAATGGTAACTTTTAAATAATATATTGTTTTATTTTTCCTAAATAATTTACTGATTTAAAAAAATATGTAAAGCAAAACCAAAAACTAAATCTAAAAACTAAAATCCAAAACCAAAAGTTGAAAACGCAGGTTATATTTTTTGCTTTTGTTTATTTACAATTTTTTTTTAAAAAAAAATTGTCATCTTTTCAGTTTTAAATTAGATGTTCGATTATTTGAGATTTGTTTGTTGGTAATATTAGTTCAAAGTAACTCAGCGGATCTAAAAATTAAAAACTCAAACCAAATGCTGAAAATCAAAAATAGAAACTTAAAAACTAAAATCCAAAAAATCAAAATCTAAAACAAAATCTAAAAGTTCGATTCTCTGCTTTCCATCGTCTACAAGTTCGATTCTCGGCTTTCAGCATCGCCCACATACCCATGACCAGGAATGTGCGCGCGGATTCTCTCGCCAAGGAGGCGAGATGCAGTGGTACTCTCTTTTCCCATATATATCAAACCCAGCCGGACGGAGCGTCTCTTCGGAACGACTCAGGCCCGACTACCACTTGATCTTAAACAATGGGCGTCCACAAAAAAAAAAAAAAATCTAAAAAAAAAAAATTGAAACTAAAAACTAATGAAAAAAAATCATCACCACAAATTTTGGTGAACTGATTTTATACCAAAACATTCTTTAAATTAAGACAAAAACCCAATTATATAACTTATCTTGAGCTTTTGGGCTTAGTATTAAAAAAAAACTCCAAAAAACATTAAATAAACTTTCCACCTTAATGAATCAAAAATCAATTACTATTTTCAGGCCCAAAAATATTTAATATTTTCAACAAAACAAAATTATCTATTATTAATCACTTATTTAAATCATGTAAAAACCAAAAACCAAAGCTAAAAACTAAAATCCAAAACCAAAAGCTGAAAACGCAGGTTATATTTTTTGCTTTTTTTTTATTTACAAAATAAACTATTTCAAAATTTTTAGAAAATTATTTTGTCATCTTTTCAATTTTAAATTACATGTTCGATTAATTGAGATTTGTTTGTTAGTAATATCAGTTCAAACTAACTCAGCGGGTCTAAAAATTAAAAACTCAAACCAAAAGCTGAAAATCAAAAATAGAAACTTGAAAACTAAAAACCAAAAAACAAAATTTAAACACAAGATCTAAAAATAAAAACTGAAACTAAAAACTAATGAAAAACCACTATCACCACAAATTTTGGTAAACTAATTTTATACCAAATCATTCTTTAAATTAAGACAAAACCCAATTATATAAATTTTTAATCATAAAAAATTTCTACGCTTTTTAAGCGCGGGTCAAAATCTAGTATGTCCTTATAAAACAAAACAGAAGCGAGAAAAGATTTTTTTTTTTGAGACGTTGGATATTTCTATTATACATTTTTGGGTGCAGCATTAAAATCAAATCATTTTTAAAGTATTAGAATATTGAGTCGAACAGATTAAAGATACAAGAGAAAAGAGGAGAGGAGAAAGTTACAAAAGAGAGCAAAGAAAGAGAACAAGTAACAAAAGGAAGCTAGCTGAAGGGATTCACAAACCAAAAATACAACTCCTTAAGAGAGAGAACAGACGAAGGATTTGGGGCAACGAAGAGTAGCCTACCCAACATGGATCGGTTAATCAGCTTGAAGAATGCATTAGATTTCTATTATACATCAGTAACATCACAACTATATTTGTACTTCTATTTTGGTTTAGTTTTTAAAACGAAAATAAGATAAAAACATAAAAATAAAATAAATCGAAATAGAATGACATATATAATTGTGATTATAATAGAAATATCCAATATCAAAGTACTATGACTTTTCCAGCTTTAAAAGTAGGGGATGTATCATGAATATTTTCTTTCCAACTATAAAGGCATTTAACCTGTGTGTTTTTACTGATAAAGATTATATTTACAACATTTTTATCACTTTAAAAAGATAAAAATGTTATAATTTAGTATCTCCAAATATTTTTTGATATTTTACCTTTTTGGAAAAGAAATAACAATTATATTAAAATATATATTTAGATATAATGAAACTACTAGGTGTTTTGTACGCACTTGCGGGCATAATTCTTTTGTCCAACTATAAATGCATAATTCTCTTAAGAATATTTATTAGTTGATTTTTCATTAATTTATTATTTATGTTTTCAAAAAGTACAAATCAAACATCAAATAAATGACAAAACGCAAACATCAGAAATATTTAAAAGAATAATTTTTTATAATTATTTTGCTTGATTTATATTTAGTTATAATATTTATACAAATATTTTTACTTAATTTATATTTAATTCTAATTTTTATATCTTAATTTTAAATTTTATAATAGAAAAAACATATTTTGAAGATAACAATATAATGCATAAGTTATTTATATTCTAAAAATATAATATGATAAATTCGTTTTAGTTATATAATAATTATATAAGATTATAGAAATGATGACATATAAGGAAGATTACTTAAAATCATAGAGAACTTAACAAATTAGAAAATTCACTTATTAAATATTTTTTCTTGAGTGGTGATTTATATTTAATTAATAATAGATAATTTTCTATTTTAATTTTAAATTATATAATATAA